AATTCAAGTTGTACTACAGAGCAATAGTAATAAAAACTGCTTGGTATTGGCATAGAAACAGAAAGGTGGATCAAGGGAACCAAATAGAAAACCCAGAAATAAAACCACACACCTATGAATACCTGAGTTTTGACAAAGAAGCCAAACCATTCAATGGAAAAAAAGACAGCATCTTCAACAAATGATACTGGTCCAAGTGGATGTCTACATGCAGAAAAATGCAAATAGATCCATATTTATCACCCTGCACAAAACTAAAGTCTAAGTGGATCAAAGACCGCAATATAAAACCAGATACACTAAATCGGTTAGAAGAAAAAGTGGGTAAGAGCCTAGAACTCATTGGCACAGGAGACAACTTCCTGAACAGCACACCATCAACACAGGCCCTAAGAGCAACAATCAATAAATGGGACCTCATGAAACTAAAAAGCTTCTGTAAAACAAAAGTCACTGTTGTCAGAACAAAATGACAGAGTCTCGCCTGGGAAAGGATTTTCACCAACCCTACATCTGACAGAAGGCTGATATCCGGAATATATAAAGAACTAAAGAAGTTAAAATGCAATAATTCAAGCAACCCAATTAAAAAATGGGATATGGAGCTAAACAGAGAATTCTCTGTAGAAGAATATAGAATGGCAGAGAAACACATAAAGAGATGCTCAACATCAGAGAGATGCAAATCAAAATGACCCTGAGATTTTACCTTACACCAAGCAGAATGGCTAAGATGAAAAACTGAAGTGACAACACAGGCTGGAGAGGTTGTGGGGAAAGGGGAACCCTCCTTCATTGCAGGTGGGAATGTAAACTTGTACAACCACTATGGAAATCAACCTGGCACTTTCTCAGACAATCAGGTATTCTGCTTCCACAAGATCCAAGTATACCACTCCTAGGCATATATCCAAAAGATGTTAAAGTACACAACAAGGACATTTGCTCAACCATGTTTGTAGCAGCTTTTTTCATAAAAGCCAGAATCTGGAAACAACCTGAATGTCCATCAATGCAGGAATCGATACAGAAATTGTGGTTCTTTTACACAATGGAATACTACTTAGCAATTACAAACAAGAAAATCATGAATTTTGCAGGCAAATCGTGGAAGCTAGAAAAGATCATCCTGAGTGAGATATCCCAGGCACACATGGTATACACTCACTTATAAGAGGAGACTAGACCTATAAGATAGGATAAACATACTAAAATCTGTACAACTAAAGAAGATAAACAAGAAAGAGGACCAGGGGCAAAATGAGCAATACTCACCTAGAAAGACAAAGGGGATCGACATTGTAAGTAGGAGAAGACAAGTTAACAGGACAGGAGCCTACCACAGAGGGCCTCTGAAATACTCTACCTAGCAGTGTTTCAAAGTAGATGCTGAGACCCATAACCACACCTTTGGCAGAGTGCAGGGAATCATATAAAAGAAGGAAGAGTTAGTATGACCTAGAGGGGACAGAAGTCCCACAAGGTCCAAATATATCAGGGCATGGGGGTCTTCTCTCAGACTGTTTTTCCAACCACAGAACATGCATGGATATAACCTATAAACCCTGCACAGACATAGCCCATGGTAGCTCTGTATCCAAGTGGGTTCCTTAGTAAGGGGGACAGAAATTATTTCTGACATGAACTCCATGACTGGCTCATTGAGCTCTCCCTCCCCCCTGAGGGAGGAGCAGCCTTACTAGTTCAAAGATAAGGACATTGTAGCTAGTCTTGAAGATCCCTGATAAGCTAGGGTCAGTTAAAAGGAGAGGAGGACCTCCCCTATCAGTGGACTCGGAAGTGGGCAGAGAGGCGATGAGGGAGAGTGTGGGCTTACAGCTGGGATACAAGTGAATGTATAAAATTATTTAAAAATAAAAATAAAGAGTAAAGCCAGGAAAATGCAAGTCATAACCCAGGCAACAAACTATCTAGTGGTAATTAAAACCAGTGAGGAAGAAGCTCACAGGTATTCTCTACCTGCTAAAAAGAAGACAGAAACTTAGACAGAAAATGGATGAGAAAGCTATTAGCACTAAGAACATACTATTTACCTGTCAAATACATTCATACCTTTGACCACTTGTCATAAATGTTCATTCATTTAGTCATCACCCATCAAATCATCTCAAGCATTGTTTATATGTAAGAAAATGTAAGGACCTGAGGAAAATATGACAATCATTGTCTAACTGTGTAAATCACTGTTAGGTGAGGAAGACAGATTATGTAAATATGTACAGTCACAAAAGCTAAGAAAGGAACAGTGACAAATAGGAACAGGCCTATTCAAAATTGGCAGAGGAAGAAGAAAGATGGAGAAGATTCAGAGAAAGCTCCCTCAAAGAGGCAGTAACTGAATAGAAATTTTGAGACTGAACTGGGACTAAGCAGATACAGAAAGAACGAGAACACATATGTTAAGAATTGTATGAATAAGTGTAATTAATAAAATTAAAAAAAAGAATTGTCAACATTAAAAAAAAAAAAAACAGCATGTGCAAAAACATAATCACCATGAGAATCAGGGAGAAAAAAAGAGACCGGAAGGCCTGAGCAAATGGAGAGGGCCATATGTGGAAGGGATCATAAGACTGCTTAAAGACTGAAATGACAGCATCCAAACATTTGGCATGTAAACTAAGAAACCTTCACAATTATTTCACACTCCTATAGAGCATACATTCTATAAAGTTCTATATCAATAATCATACTTAACAAAAATGCTTACATTTAACATGATAGCCACCACTCCAAAACATTTTTCTGAAAATCCAATTTCTTCCTTATTACTGAAAAATATCCCAGAGTGTATGTGTATGTGCATATATGCAGCACTTTGTTCACCCACTCATCTGCTGATGAGTTTATGTGTTGCTTCTCTAATTTGGCTTTGTTAGCAATGTGAAAGTAAACATGGACATCAGCTGCCTCTGTGGTAAGCCCAGATTAAGACATATATCTAGCAATGGCATAGCTGAATCATAAAATATTCCATTTTTAACTTTCAGGAAGGAACCTCTGAACTGATTCCTGTAGTGACTAAATTAATGTACATTCTCAACACTATATTACCATTCCTTTCAGTGAACTCATGTGAAATTTGTTCATGTCTTATGGCTGATAAAAATTCTGAAGGATCATGACAAGTACCTTCTTTGTCATTATTTTCTAAATACTGTATTTATATAACATTTATATTCTATTAGTTAGCATATAAAAGAAAAAGCTAATTCTGATTGAGATAAGATATAATTCCAGGGTGGTTTGGATTTGGCTACAGATTCTGAAAATGTTTTTATGTGCTTGTTAGCCTATATACTTCAACACTTTAACTTTAAAAGTATCTGTCCCGTTCATTTGCCTACTTACTAATTGGATTGGTTTTTTTCTGACATGCTGCTTACATTGTTTATATATTTTACATGTTAATACTCCCCCTCCCTTCCTGTGTACACATAGTGAAGATTTTCTGATTCCGTAGCAGTTTCTTCACTCTGCTGACTGTTGCTTTCGCTGTGCAAACCCTTTTTTAATTTTATGTGACCGTATTTATCAGTTGTTTCTGTTATTTCTAGGCTACTCAGGGTCCTGAGTTATAGGTCCTGGCAGAAGCTTTTTAACCTCATATTGTTCAAGGGCTCCTGCTATTCCTGGGATGCGGATACTTGGAGTCTTTTGGAGTCAAAGGTTGTCTTCTTAACCTCAACTGTTTCAAAGTTTCAAGCCTTACATCTCTCATCCATGTAGCTGAATTAAACCAGGGTGAGGAACGGGTATCTATTTTGGTTTTGTGTGTATGTGTATTCAGTTTTTACTAGCAACATTTGTTAAAGGAGTTGCCATTCTTTCTGAAGTATATTTTAAATGCCTTTCAGGAAATTCAAACTGCTTTAGTTATGTAGGGTCATCATTGGGTCTTCTATTCTATTCCGTGGGCCTAGGTATCTAGTCACGTGCCAGTGGCATGCTGATTTATAAATAACTGTAAAAACTTTTAGAGTGTTCTTCTTTGATAATATCATGGTAAGGCATTTTAAAATTAGTCTTTCAAACTCTTCATCTCCACTTTCAACTGTGGCTAATGACTCAGTGGCACACAGGCTGATATCACTTGACATCACATCTCTATTACAGTTGTAAATTTGTGCACCCCTTTGCTTCCATAGTATCTGCCTACACATACTTACTGTCTGGATAATTACAAGTCTTCAAATATCTGTATTGAATGCATTAGCACAAGTTCCCTCTACATTATAGTATTTATTGAATGACAGTAACAGAGTTCTCCTCTTATGCACTAATGAAAGCTCATTGGTGAATCCCCTTCAAGAAGTCTATTAAGGAACCCTCATTCCTAACCCCACTGGCTGACTAACCTGAGCTTACTAAGTGCATCACTGTGCACATGGCTGACACTGGTCTCTAGTTCCTATAGCTTCTTTCTGTCCTAGTATACATTCATCCTTATGATACTGCCTTTTGACATGACAAATGAGATTCTGCCACTACAGTACTGGATAAATGGTAATGAAAAAGAATAAAACAGAAACTTAAGAAATGAAATCTCAACATCATGTTAAATTATTTTTTAATTTTACAATAAAAACCTATTACTGAAAAAAAAAAAAAACCATGAGTGGGCCAAATGTGTAATTTAAAATGGTAAACTGTAGGTCACTGCCAAAATGCTACAGCAATAGTAAACTGGCATTATAGAAAAAGGAATAGTCTAAAACACACACACACACACACACACACACACACACAGACCTGTGTGTTACATGGACATTGAATCTCTCATAAAAAAAAAAAAACCGTGATTTATAAAGACTTCATTTATCAATATTAATACGAAGTGAACAGAATCTTAGACAGGAATAAGTACAGAGAATATCCCAACAATTTATCCTCCCAAACTTGACTTAAAAGTTCATATTTAAAGGCATTCCTAAAAACAAAAATGCAAAATGAAGAAAGCCTGATATAACTGCACTTACCAGAATGGTGGCAGTAGTCCATAGAGTGGGGAACTTGGATGGTAAAGGCTATCAAATCTGGAGCGAGAAGAGATTCAGGCTTTCTACTTTCATTAAGCCACTTGGTGCAATGAAGGTCTCTAGTGTCCGAAGGACCCTGAAGTAAAGGAACCAACCTTTCTTTTCCACTGTCACCTGAATAGAAATATTGATTGAAAAAATTTTTTAAAGGAAGAAAAATTTTTAAATAATATTTCTTATGTAAAATACAGTAGTTTGGGAATGCTTTATCTGAAAATATACCACTAAAATAATGGTTCAATAATAGTTGTCACTTTAATCGTCTATCTAGTTAATAATCTATAAAGAGTCTGATAAAGCTATTTTAGATTTTAAAATTCAGTTTTGACATTTTGCTAATGAGTGTAGGACATGTTCAGAACAAAATGAAATTATATCGAGATACACATCAGCAAAATATGTACTATGATATGATGGAATTTAGGTTTGCTGAAAGAACTGAAAATAGCTTAAGAAGAACATTATAAAACAAACTACTGCAAGACAAGAGGAATAGTTACAACCAAACTTTTGTAACACTCAAATTTTGTTTTTAAATCTACTGTGCTAACATCTTAACTCAATATTAATTTAATTATCATGCATAATTCACATTTCTGTCAAAACTGCAAGAATACTCTTAATTTTTCTTTACAACTTCTGTTAAAACTATGCAAAGCTGTTCACCTTAAATGAAATATAATTGGTTAAAGTCAGTAAGTATCATCCCTGCACTGTTAAAAATATTAAGTATAAATAAAACAATGAAAAGCTCTGATTCATAGGAACAATGAGTAAATTCTTGTTTCAGCAAATGCTCCTTGTAAAAGGAAAGGCCGATTCTCCTACACAGGCAATAAAGTTTTACACGGTCCAGCTGCACATACCTGGGGCTTTGGCACAAATTTTTATTGATCCCATGGTCCCAGAGGCACATTTGACCAATGATGTGCTGCAGTACTTCAGTTCAACATTCTGGATTGAGCCCTCAAGAGTTGGCAGGGGATTCTTAGATTTCACACCTAATAAAAGAAAACTGCAAATGTACTAGCTGATTGAATTTAAATAATTTTATACTCCTTCACCAAGGTATTTAAAGTTAATTATACTTCAATTATCTACCTCAGATGTTCTTACAGTATTTGTGTTATGTTTCAGAGTTCAGTATTTAAAAGGTAAAAGGATGCAATTTAAAAATAAATAGGCTGAATTCTCATAACTATACTTATGATCAAATCTTGATTAGTAGGAGTCAAAACGAAACTGAATGCATAAATCATACATAAAACTCAAGAGTTTAAAAATCATATTTAGTTTGAGAATACACAAAATAAACCTGAGTAAACAGAAATAAAACCGTCCAAGATAGTTTGTAACTTAAAATACAATCACTTATAAACAAAACAAAACAAAACAAAATACCCAAAAGATTTTTAGCAAACAAAAAAGGAGCTTTCAGTATTTCTAGTTCATGATACTTATTAATATAAAATAGTTGAGAAACTTTTTTAAATTTATGATCAACTCTAATTAAGGGCATGAAAGGAAGGAGAGGATTATACAAGCAGAGGCACCTACTGACTATAATTCTGACAAGGAAAGGGTGAAAGAGAGAAAAAGAAAAGATGAAGTATTATCTCTCATGATTAAGATTTACTATATAAACGGAATCGGTCTGCACAAAAGATCATAATGCTGATATTGCCATTCTCATTTCTGATGCATAAACTAAAGGTGCGAACTAAATTTCATAGAAGGGTTTGTAATCAGTTAACATTTACTGAGTACTTGCACTATATTATGCATACAAATGAGTTCGATCTTCACAAGAAAATATAATATAAAGGACTATCCTAATTGTACAAATGAGAATATCATGAATTTCAGGTGCTAACTAAGTTCTACACAAACCTAGGTGTTAAAACTAGGCGTTACATCTGTTCGAGAATAATTTTGTCTTCCTATATATTTTGCGTATATTCAGAAACATCCAGGAATATCATTTTCCTTCTGTTCCTTGTCTCAAATTTTAGTGAAGCATAAAGTATTATCTTTCATATTTGAAGACTTTAATTTTATATAATTTTAAAAATAAACTATGACTTACTAGTTTTGTTCTCTAAAGTCTCATTTCCACCTATAGTGTGTGTTCATGAATACCTATTGTCTCTCAAAAAAATTATGAAAGATTTCCTGATCAATGGTCAAGAATTTAACATGTAAATGATTCCAAAATAACTAAGAGAACAGGTTGAAGATTTTCCCAAATATTAACCCTTGTTTCTGAAAGAACTCTTAACTTTCTAACCTTCAACTTTGTCATTGTGCAGAGGAATCTAAGAAGAAAGAATCTTAATTGAGAATATGCCTCCATTAAGACTGGCCTACAGGTAATTCCTGATGCAGGTGAGGCCACCCACGGACTACTGATACTTCCTTAACTCTGAAAGGAAGCAGGCTAAGCAAGCCCTGAGAAGCAAGTTCATAGGCAATGTTCCTCCATGATCTCTGCTTCAGTTCCTTCATCCAGGTTCCTTCTCTGATTCAGTCCCTGTCCTGACTTCCCTTAGTTATGGACTGCTAGCATGAAGTGTAAGCAAAATAATCCCTTTCTGTCCTAAGTTGCTTTTGTTCATGGTGTTTTCCACAGCAGTAAAGACTCTAAGGCACTCATTATATAACTGTGTGTCAATTAATTGTTAATTTGACATGTTTAGCTTATGTTGAGTTTATAGTAGTCATCCTCAGAACAGAAGCTGAACTAAGCTCTGGAACAGATTTAAAGAGTGTGTGAAGCTGATAAAGTGGTATCCAAATGTTATGTATTTTTAAGGTTTTCAAATTCCATGACTGAAAACATTTTAATAATAGAAAATGAATGACAGCATCACAGTGCTAGCAGTGTAGGTATCACGGCATCTGGCACTGACTGAACACTTAATTGTGTCTAGTTTTTTATTCATCTCATGCAAAAAAAAAAAGAAAGTTATCACTATTTTCATTTTTCATAGAAGAAAACAAATTCTCAGAGAAATACAGAGTTGGCAAAAAAAAAAAAAAACAGAAAATGGCTAAATTTGAACCATATTTTTCCTTATTAGAAAGGATGCATGCTGGAGATATTGGTCACTGGGTAAAAGAGTCAGCTATACAAGCTTGAGAATCTGACACCCAAGTAAAAAGCTGATGTAGCCACAAGTCCATCCCAACACTGTAGATTTTGAAGAAGAGAGAACCTCTAAAAATTTCTGGGTCCAAACAAGCCTACCTCCAGGTTCAGTGAGAGAGCCTATTCCAAAAGAACAGAGTAAAGAGTTAAACAGTACAGCATGTGATATCCTCTTCTGACCTCCACAAACATGCACACGTGTTCATGCACACATATACACACGCATACACACACAGGATGTTGAGCTCTTCTATATATTCAACACTACTGGACTTTGAAAGATGTTACACTCAGGATATAATTTCCCTTAATCCGAACATTATCATGGCAAAAAAAAAAGGGGGGGGGGACATAAAACAAAACCCTCCACTGCTTCTCAAACCTTGTAGGCTAACAATCTACACCAAATCATTTAAAAGCATAAGAATCCTACAGAGTTGTGTCTTGCCAAGTGACCACAGCTTTTATAATGAAGATGGTGTCTGTTACATGCAAAAAGTAGAGTTCCTTCAATGATAGCTCATTGGAAGAGCTCTTGCTAGACAGATATATGTGGCCCTAGGTTTAATCCTCAGTACTGGTTAGAGAAGGGGGGAAAATCATCTAAGAAAAAATTCAAGAATATTTCCCAAAACTGAACAGAAGAAGATCAATAAGGCTTATCAAATAAAAATACATGCACATATTTCTGCCAGTTTATGTCTATATTAAAATAGCTCTGCAAAAACTTCTGAGATAAGACCAAAACAAAGATAACACTATACTCGTAAGAATAAAAAGAGAAAACATTCAAAGGCTAAATAACAAAAAATGGCATCAAACATCTCAACAGCTCTAATGAGAGAACAAGAAGAAAAGTAAGCAATGCTCTGAAAAATAAATATAAAAAAATAAATCTATAAAATAAATCCATAGAAAAATAAATCTCAATCTAAAAATCTATGCCCAGCCAAATTATCAATCACACATAAAGATGTTCTGGCTATTTTTTTATATAATTTTTAATTTTTTATATTAATCACAGGTTATTTACTTTGGATCCCAACCATAGCCCCTCCCTCATTCCCTCCCAACCCCACCCTCTCTCCCTCATCTCCTCCCTGCCCCTTTCTAAGTCCACTGATAGGGGACTTAGGGGAGGTCCTCCTCTCCTTCCATCTGATCCGAGCTTATCAGGTATCTTCAACTGCCAACTTAGCATGTCCCAGAATCACCTGAGAAGAGAGTCATAATGAGCAATGATCTAGATCAGGCTGGCTGGTGGGTATATCTGAGGATAGGGATAGTTGTCTTCAGTATTAATTGATATAAAAGATCCAGGACACTATGGTTGGCTCCTAGACTAGTGTGCAGTTGGGACCTAGAGTAGAAATAGTTAGCTGAGCACAAGCAAGAAGGTTGCAGACCTGATGCTTTAAAGTTCCAGTAATAAACAATAACGTAGGATTGTAATCCATATATAAACCTTTCTCCCCTAAGTTGTTCTTTAAGAGGAGGGAGTAGGAAAGTGCACTAAAAGAAAAAAAAAATCATTCTAAAATTAAGGCATGCGCTTGGCATTTCTATGTTATAGAAAATATGTAAGGGAACACTAATGAAGCAAGAAAAAAAAGACATACAAATTCTGACTATTAAAGTTATAAAAGAAAAATTTCAATAATTGCATGTATGTAACACTATATATAATCTTAATATGCTTTCATTGGATACAGAGTTAAGCAAAAAATATGATGTAATATGCTCAAAAATTTAGGAGAAAAGAAAAACAGATCATATTGGTCTTAAAAACTACGTCCTTGGTAGCAAAGACAGTAACATTGCCTCACATGGAAGGGAAGGATGGAGGGAGGAATGGAGGAAAGAAGGGAGGGAAGAAGGGGGGGAGAGACAGATACAGAGACAAAGACAGAGAGAGAATATTAAAGATCCAAAAGAGCTGATTTACAGTGGGGAGATGGCCTTAGATAACTCAGGTAAACCTGGTGTGATATGACAAATCCTTAGAGACAAAAAGGAAGAGAGAAAGAGACATGAAGTCACAATCACTTTCAGAGAAGTATGATACTCAGGATGATGGAAGCAGATGCTGAGACTCACAGCCAATTTTTGGGCAGAGCACAGGGGATCTTATGTAGGAAGAAAGGGTGGGAATAGAGGAACATGGAGGGAACAGGAGCCCCACAATGAGACAACAAAGCTAAGAGATCTGAGCCCATGGGTTCCTGAAGAGACTGATAGACCAACAGAGAACCATGCATGGAGAAAACCTAGAACCCCTGCTCAGAAGTGGCCTATTGGCAGCTCAGTCTCTGAGTGAGGGGGGCAGGAACTCTATCATGAACTCAGTTGCCTGCTCTTTGATCATTTGCTCCTGGTAATGCAGCCTTGCCAGGCCATGGAAGAAGAGGATCCAGGTAGTCCTGATGAGACTTGACAAGCTATGGGCAGATGGCAATAGTGGAGAACTCCTATTTCAGTGAACTCTGAGAAAGGAATGGGGGGACAAGGGAACGAGGGTAGGACCAGGGGGAGTTGAGGGAGGGGGCTTCAATTAGGATATATAATGGAATAAATTGTGAAGAAAGAAATTAAAATAAAAATTAAAAAGAAGAATGATACTGATGCCTCTGAAGACAGGGAAGGGGACCATGAGGCAAAAATAGCTGATGCTTCTGAAAACTAGAAAAGGCAAAGATGGCCTATCCCTAAAGTCACCAGATAGCAGACCTACTATCTTTATATACTATAGAACTGCAAGAACAAAAAAATGTGCTGTAGGGCTATAGAAATGGTACAGGAGTTTGGGAAGACATAGGCTATTTCTTGCAGCCAGCTCCAAGGGAGCCAATGTCT